AAAGAGCTAATGTATGACCTATTTTTTTAATACGAGTTAAATCCATAGTCTGATGAATCTAAAAAGATCTTTTCCCAAATCTTCATCTAGATTAAATCCTATACATATTAGAGAGTACAATACAAAAAAGTAAGATTCCTATACATCTTTATTTTTTACACGTGGAATAAATCTTTGTTTTTTACAGGTGGAGAGATAAGATTCCTATACATTTTTATTCATCATCAAAAGCAAAACCCATATTGGCTACATTTTGAATGAAGGCTAAAACATCATTAAAGTATTCTTAGGATCTGCTAACACTATTATTGATTAGAGAGACCTTCACTTATAGTTCATTTGCCTTTTGAGCCACTGTATCAATTAACATGTTCGTATGTTATATTTTATAATGGAATAAAGTGTTGTCTTGGAGCAGTGCACTATTACTTATGGCTGGTGACTCATTATTTCTATTCACTATCAAAAAAGTCATTTCCAGCTACTGGATCTGATCACTAGCCCTTTAAAGTTCTTCTTGCTTAATATCATGTTCAATTATCTTTTTGTTCATCTGGATATCAAAGATGTTGATGCATTCTTGTCATTCTTTAGATTTCTGCTTTAGTTAACTTAGCTCTTCCTCGACCTCTAGTTATTTTCCTCTCAACTTTTTTAACTCCTCTTCTAGTATTTCTAGCTTATATTAAACCATGGTGACTTGTTCTCTTAGAGCATTTATTCTATCTTAGTAGTAATTCATGTCTGATTCATTTATTTATTTATTTTATTTCTCTTTCATCATGAGTTTGATCTATATACTATGCTCTTAATCTTCTCTCTTCTTTAATGCTGAGATTAACTATCCTATTATTTTCTTTCCCAACTTTCAACCTTTTAACACTATCTCTTTCCTTTTTAAAAAAAGCAATCAGTTCCTTGTCGACATTTGTTTTGCCTTTGGAAGTCTTTTTTAAAATAACTAGATCTATTTTCATCATCAAATATTTGTTCACCAAATCATCGTACTTGATCACCTTTTTTTTCAAATGCTCTTAGATCTCTTATGCAATCTCCTTAAACTTATTGGCTATGTTTTGTTATTCATTAATCATCCATTAGTTGCTCTTTCCTAGTTCCAGGTCTTACATTAATACAATTATCTTTTCATGCCTTTTTTCTTAACTATTAGCTCAAAAGGGCCTTCATCATGTCTTTGTCAACAAGTTCATTTTATAAAAACTCTTGCTAACTCTTGTTATGACTTAGCTTAATTCTAAGTTTGTCTAATTTATCTTACAACTCCTCTTCATTGCTAATTCTTTTTCTTTTAGGTTTTTATCACAAATGGTCTAGCTTTGTCAACTATTATTAGACCTTATTCTTCAAAGCTATCAAATTCTCTAGATAATCCACCATTTCTCCAAACTGAGTATTTAGGACTAATTAGGAATTCAACCTCTTCTTCACTTTTATGAACCAATACAAGCTACCTCTAATCTGGTTTGATAACTTCTAATTTGGCTAAAGAATCGAAATCCTTAAACAACCTAGTATATTTGGCTAAAACCTGGGTTCTTGATACGTGTTTAATTCCCCTAAATTATCTAACAACCAATGAAGGTGAACAACTAATATAACCAAATAGTCCGATCAATAAGGCTCATGTTTTATCTCTGTAATTCATGATATAAAAAGAGTTTCCCATCCTATAGGCTTTCCATATGAAATTATTACAAGGGATAACCTGATATTTTTTTACCCATGCTCTTTCATCCAAGCTATTTCAATCTTTACTCACAACAAGCTTTAAAGGACTCATATTGAACCACCAAAAAATATTGAAAACCACACTTGAAGTTTCTAAATAGCTTATCACTTATATGAACAATAAAGGAAAAAAAAACATCGCATTACACCCTTTCCATGTAACCTATAATGGCTCAGTGACAGGATAGTCTCAGCTATAATAGTTGTAGTGGGGTTGCTCTTTGCTTGATCATATTTAATAAAAGCATTAGTGACTTTAACACTGACAATCTCAACAACTTTTGATAGAAACAACACTAACCCAAAGATGGTAAAGAAAATTGTTTGGTATCTTTCATTTTTGTTTGTCTTTAACCTAGCTTCAATACACTTCCACTTAAAAACTTCCATCAATTGTGTAGTAATTGAACACTTCAACAGTTGTGTCTCCAATTCTTTTTTTGAAATAAACCTTAAGGAAATTCAAAATCTAAGCATGCTTTTTAATAATAGGGGCCATGTTAATGTCTCTAAAGGTGAAACGTATGTAATTTAGGTCTCAAAAATACAACAAGGCTTTGACTACTGAAATTTATACTAGAATCTTCGTTAGAAGAGCAATCCTTCCATATATCCTTTCAAAAAAATTCACACCCATATAACGTATAATTGACACAAGTTTCTCTATATTATTTATAAAATAGTGTACTTTAGTGATGTGTGGTAATTCTTTGGCCATGGTTATTGGGAAATTACCTTCAACTAGTTGCATTATCTTAGATTTTTGCTTATATTCAAAAAAAGTTATGAAAATCATGGTCTTAGCTCAGAAAAATCCTATAGAGTTTAGGATTTTTTATTAGGTTTTCCTTAATATAAAATTAATTATTAAGGAGTCAAACATTATAAGGGTAGGTTTTAGTCATTACATGAGGGGTATATTTATTACATGGTCTTAAAAAAGGTCCATGATCTTCCTAGTAACTACCTCTCATAAAGACAGTATAAAGGTTTTATAAGAAATGGTTTGGGTATAACATGATTGTCATTACATAGTAAGCACTCAAATTATAATTGGGTGTTTCATGAATCTATACCCCTACTGAAAGTCATAAGGCAAACCGATAATCCCTCACCTAACATAAAATAGAGTTTATTCTTTCAAAATTAAAATGCATGGAAGCATAAATTAATAAATTTGAGTCCAACCAGAGATGTTCTTAATGGAGTTATCATCCTATCATGACATACACGATATCAAATGACAAGTCTTCCTTATAAATTAAGGGTGTTTTCGATATGTTGGAATTAATCATAAAATCATGATTTGAAAAGTTAACAAGCCGACACCTAATATTATGGTCAATAGAAAACCTATTGGTTTATAAAATTCTAGATAAGGAGAATAATTATACATGGGGAAGAGATATCACCTATAATCCACCCCACTTATGGTGAGCTCTATTATTGATTAATTGTTTTCTTCTAAATCATGTTTCTATTTATTGATCTATTTAACATTTAAGAAAAGTCTTTCTTAGAAAGAAGATCTCTATCTTAAAAATTTAAGGTAGATCCTTATCAATAAACAAATTTTCTCACTAAACAAAGTATTAAAATATATTGGACTGTCATTTAAACATCATTAATAACATGAGATTATAACCTTAAAACAACAATATATGTCTCAAATCCAAACTTGAACACATATATGTATATTAGTTTAAATATGAACAAATACACCTAATCACCATAGTTATAAAAAACTTTAATAACCAAAGCATAATGTATTAACAAATAGTCAAACAATAATTCAATAAAGCATTAAAAGAGGGAAAGTGGTTGTAACCATTGAGCTACACTGCCCATATCGAAAATTAAAGGTATACCTTATAAAGGGAATGCTAATTTCTTCTTTGGATTATTTGCTTCTTTCATCTAGATTTATAGCTTATTTTCAATATGGGATTGATGTTGACTCTTCCTTTCCTTCTTTCTGAACATAGCATATAATTATTGTAGCTTCTCTTTTAATAAACTCTAGGGTTTTTTTTTTAAATCTTTTTGTATTTCCACCCTTTTCTCTCTCTGTAATTTCTTGTAAAAAAATCCAAATCCCCCTCTGCTCAAGATCATATGCCCTTTTATAAGCAAGCTAATATTAGAAATCTCAAAACTATAGTGTTATTTTCTAAGAGGTTGTTAGGGAAGATTTTTATTCTTTCTTCTCCAAAACCTTCTTTGCCAAAATAGATGGTTTCTAGTCCTATTTTACACACTTGTAAATCAAAATTACATATGGGAGAATAGCTTAGGAGTCTTTGATGTCATGGTGAGTTTTTCTTCCATCATAAATGATTGGGCTTGATACTTTATCAAGATCATTGTGGAGATTAAGCAATAAATGTATATTTATTTACCTTAACCTTGTAAAGGGTATGTAGATTTATCACTAAAAACAAACCATACTAGATTTAAAGGTTTAAAACTCCACATCCATTGATTATATAATGAGCTCTCGATCAGCTTGAATTTACCGATGCATAGATGACTGATCAAAGACAAAATATTATCGAGTTCATTGAGCTAAATGAGGTACAAACATATGACGAGGATAGAGGATTCTTATAAAGAAAATGTTTTTAAGTTGAGTGATGGTGGTTAGAAGCTGCAAGTAGGTTACTTATTTTTTCATTAAAGTCTAAGTGACGCATCGTTTGTTTAAACCATAAAAATTAGGGTTTTTAAATAGGATTTTAAAAAATTTTCAATTAAGTCATTTCCCTTCCAATTTAAGCATATGAAAGCATATGAATCCTCATTTGACCTTGAAACTTCTCAATTATAGCAATTACACCCTTGAAAACCTTGATATAAATCCTTCAATTTGAATTTATTTTACCATTTGATCTCTAGCTTTCAAATTATGTAATTTTACTTTTATCAACTATCAAATTTTTAATTTCTTTTAAGTATACCCTGATTTAATTAGTTTTAGAACGTGAACTCACGCAAAATTATGAATTGATTTGAGTTCAGCATGTATTTGTAATTAATCTCTTAATTTAATTATTTTTAGTCAACAGTTGATTTTCATTATATCTTCGAAAAAACTAGTCAAATAAAACCAATATAGTTTCCGTGATCAATTTTCAGTACCGGTTTTCTTGGTCAACACCTGCACAGAAAACGTAGACAACTGAAGTAGGGTCTTCTGATCAGGTGGTTCCCCACTTAATACAATTAAAATATTGGCAGGAAAATGTGACTTGAACAGAAAATAAACTCCATGTGACCTCCTTCATTTTCATTAACATACATAAACCCAGCACTCATCATACAAAAGCATTAAACAAAAAGATAAAAACTGTTTCAGAAACAAATTGTAAAAAAGAAAAAGAAAACGATTACTAAAGCATTACAAGAGAAAGAAAAGATGTTACAAAGCATTTACCCTTCCGTTCTTCACCAAGACTCTCAAAAAGAAAAAGAACTTGCTCTATAGCATTGATTAGGTAGAACCCGACACGATCTGGAGGTCTTCCCTACTCGTTATCCTCAGCCACTCCCATTGCATTGTTTGCTTGGCCCAACAAGCTGCTTATTGATCGAGCTTTTACCATACCAAACTTCATCTTCCTCCTTGAGATCATTAATGGCTTCTCCTTATCATCTTCATTATATGCAGCACCACTAACTTTATCATCTAAAGAATCCCCCTTAATCTCTTCTTCCTTCAGCGACAATTTATCATCTAAAGAATCGCCCTTAATCTCTTCTTTCTTCATCGACAATAATAATGAAGGGCTCGATAATGCACCATACTCGTCCTTCTTTGGTACAGTTGTAGCAATAGATCGGCTTCGAACACTATTCATACTTCTTAGCCTTCCTTTACCCAAATGATGTTCGCAAAGAGAGTATCCCACAAGGGTTTGCTGGCAACATCTCCATCCTCTTCCATTAACACGACTGCACCGGGATCCCTCCAATAGTGCACCACCCCCAGCCTTCGTTTTTACATTGGAGCTAGCACCTTCTTTTGTTTCCGTGTCATCTTCTTCACTATCACCATTCTGTTGCAAACATTTTTTTTCCATCTTTGTCTTCATTTTGGTTTTCATTTTCTTACTTGTATCCATTGTCGTTTCCTCATTCGATATCCTTTTAAAGCTCCCTCTTCTCTTCTTTAATGGAAATGCCCTGTCTTCCTCACCCCATCTCCCAACTCCTATAGTGCAACCAAACAACAACATAAACACTAAAAATAATTTTATTAATTTTCTGTGTACTTTTGAAATGGGTTTGGAACATAATTATATATCTACCTTGATGGGAAGAACAAGATTGTTGAAGAACTGTGACGTGCACTCCTTCGCTCAAGAAACTTCCCTTCCTGGAAATAAGCCAAACACAGAAATCCAAATCCATGTAATTTACAGCGATAGGAAAAACATAGAGAAACCAGTTAATAAAATGAGTGCAAAATAGAGGAAGATGCGTATGCATATACTGTGGATGGGGGGACCAGCTGCGTCCACCCATGCTAACGTGCACCTCATGGGCATATTAGTTTAGACAAAATGGATTAGATTAGATTAGATTAGATTAGATGGAAGAAGGTATGGTGGCTAGCCAAAGTTCATATAAAAACACTTACAAACAGTATTTCCACTTGCAGTATTTTTACTTTCTTTTCTGTAGCCAAAAAAAAAAAAATCAATTCACAGTCTCTTTATTTTCACCTTTTTCAATACAAGAATTCATGAAAGAAGAGAAGAACATGGATTTAACTTTTTTCACTACTTCCTTACCTGGCATCATTACTCTTCTCTCCTACTTCTCCTTCCTTAATCTCATCACCCTCTTGCAACAAAACCTACAGTAAAATCCCAAGAAATATGGATAATACTAACTCATAACGTAACCTTGATGGGTGCAAATTGACCATATAAAAAGTAGATCCAACAAAATTGACTCTTCAAGTCACATTGAAGCGAAGTGCACTCTCATGTATAAACACCCCACTAAACTTGGATAAAAGTGTTGTGGTAACTTTTTTTTTAAACCAACCAAATTGACAGCCACTATAACTGCTTACCTTGTTCTCTTCTTGTGGTCCAGCATCATGGGAGAAATCATCATGACCTTTGCTTCCACCTCCGATCGGTTGATTTAGTTGATTAGAAGGCAGCTGAAGATCGAAGTATTCATCCTTTTGAGGTTCTTGAAAGAGATTTTGATGTGGGATGTTGTGTAATTGAAGTTGCACCACCGGAGACCGGCTAAGCTGGGGATCTGAGAGAGGTATCGGTGATAGAGAGGAAAGAGGCAAAGGAGCCTTTCTGTTTCTAATCCTCATCGGTGCAAGAAAAGAAAGATTTGATTTTTGAAAGAGAGAAAGGCCTTAACAACAATACAGCTCAAAGAAGTAGAAAGTAGTGATCTTTGAAGGTCAGATTTCATACACAATAAAACCAGAGAAAGAGAGTGCAAAACTACCCAAAAATACAACAACAACAAATATAAGACCAACAAAATGATTTTTTTTTTAATTATAATTATTATATGCTTTAATAACACAACAGCACTCTCTCTCTCTCTCCTTGTCTTTCTCTTACCCCTTCTTTCTCTCTCCAACCTTTATTCGTCGCACCACACGAAGGTTAGGAATGGGAATGGAAGTAAGTATCTTTGTGTATACGGAGGTCATGTTTGCACGTGTGGGGGACCGGTTGAAGAGGTGGCCGGTAAGTGGGCCACACCGTAGTGACGAGGGTTGCCAGGGTGGAAAGACAGAGGAAGATTAAAAAAAAAAAAGCTGGGAGTGGGTAGCAAGTAGATTTATCGTTTATACTTTATAAGTTTACAGAATAGAGGAGAGAGGGTCCGTCACTCACCCAGACCACCCCACACCCCACGCCAAACCCCCAACCCCCCTTTGCTCTCAAGCCTTCAAGTTTAACTGCTGATTATTATTGATAATAATATTGAAGTCCAATTTATCGATCAACCAATCGCATAGTTTTGATTAATGTAAACTTGAATTTGTGTCAACATTTTGGTAGTAAATCGAATTTTTAATAAGTACAAGATAGATATTTTGATATTAGAATGTTTTGGTGTTATGTTTTGAAATTATTACAAATTATATAATAAATATTTATCATTGATATTTAATAATTTCTTTATTTTGTTGGGTGTTCAGAATTTTACAAGAAACACCATCATCCAATTAAAACAGGATATTAATAACGTTGTATTTGAAACTCTGAGTTAAAAAATAAAAGATAGAGTAAGAAATCATATAATAGATTTGGATTAACCAATATTATCGAAACAAGTTAGGATTAGATAGTTAATACTACTAAATCGATTGAAATATTTAATTAAATTGTTTTTGATGGAATTATTTTAATTAAAATATGATTATTAAGTATTTTGATGTCAAATTTAAAATGTGATTCACTCATTTTTTTAGTTAAAAATTTATTGAAAATTATTCTTTAATAAAAATTCATCAACATAAAATATTAACACGATAAAAAATAAATTATAAATTAATAAAAAAATTAAAAAATTAATCTTAATTAATCATTGATTGACATATTTTTGTTAAATTCAATACCCTCTGTGTTTAGTATACTCTTTTCTTTTTAAACTAAGTTTCTTCTTTATTTATTTTTCAATGTTGAACTAAGTTTAATATTTGTAAAGAGACATATGAGTTATAAATTCTTTTAATTTATTAATATTATTTAGAAGTGTATTTAAATAAGGTAGTGTTATTAAAATTTTCAGAGGCTTATTGCAAATATTATTTTTTACCAAGTGCGGAGCAATAAATTTTTTTAAAAAATGACTAATACTTGACAAATACTGAAACAACCTGTAACTTTGTTTTTTTATTTTTATTTTTTTTTTGTAATCTCACCCTTTCTAGTTAGGTACATGAAAAATGGAATTCTTTTTGTAGGAGTTGTCTTTTTCTTATCTTATTTCATCATACATTTATTTTGAATAAATTTAACATAGCATGTGACACTTATAGTACACTATATTGATCTTTGGGTAATATATTAATATTTTTTATTATAAAAATTAAATTAAAAATAGACCAATGATATGCTTAATTGAGAATAAGTTTAAATAGATTTATATGAAGATCACATCAATAAATATGAAAAATTGAATGAAGAAAGTCTAAAATGCAAAGCAAGTGAAGATTAGTTTTTAAGTATTCATTTTAGTGCTAAATGTATTAATCTTATATCTTATTATTGTTCTAGGATTAAGACAACAATAACACTTAAAAGGTGTGAATTAGGTATTTCACTAATAATAACAAATATTGCAATTAACTCAATTAAACATAATAAATACAATTAACCAACAATAAAATTAAAGTGCTTAAAGTAAAGAGTATAAGGATAGAAATTGTAAATTCAATTTTTAATATGGTTCAACAAGCCTACATCTACACCTCATATACTAAACTGGTATTGATTCTTGTATTGTTTACCAATCCAAGCTAAAAATTATAATATCCTTGATGAATCATTACCAAGCTTTTTTTCACTACTTGAAGAAATATTCTCTTCAAGATTTTTCACGTTGGTGAGGTACCTCACAAATGACCAAGAGTTTTTCACTTAAGCTCTTGAATGATTACAATTATTTCAAATGTAGCAACACTCTCTAAAAGTGAAGATAATACAATTAAAACTTATATCTCTATAGCTCACTCAATAGTAATTAGAATATATGAAGGTGTTTAATTGTAGTGAGTGTGAAAAATTATACTCTTATGCAAAAATATAAAGTTTTTAATGCACAAATATGAGTATGATTTGAAGTTATTTTTTCTATTAAAACAGCTTTTATATATATATATTCTTTTAAACCAGTAGACCAATTTAGAGGTTAAGTCAATCGATCGACTAGTTCCTGTTAATTTTCAGGTGTTTATTCTTGATGAATAAGTAGTCGATCGATTCACTTGGTTAGGCTAAATGATCAATTGGTTCATCTTAAAATCCATCTTTAATAGTTTTAAATCTAATGAACCTTAAAGCAATTAAATGCATGTCAATCCTATAATGCATACAATGTGAAGTGTATGAATTTATTTTGAACTAAGTAAACCAATCGACTGCTTGGTGATACTAAGTAAACCAATCGATTGCTTGTTTACCAAGGATGAACTCCTAGAACTTAACAATCCAGTTCAGAGGCTTTAAGTCATTAACCACTTCGTACATGTCTTATTAGTTTTTATTGTGTACTCCTCATTAATATGTAATTAGACTATAAATTGTAAAATTAATAATCATGCAACATTTTTTTAGTCATTATTGTAATATTTTTAGGTTTTGTTTGGGATTATGATAACGATGGTGGTTTAAAGTGTTTTTTGCTTAGAAATATATTAAAATAAATTTTTTTAAAAAAACAATTATTTTTTATATCAGCACATCAAAACAATCTAAAAACATTAAAAAAATTATTTTAAGCAAAAAAAATTCAAAATGTTTTAAAACATGGTTTGCACCACGTTCCCAAACATACTCGTAGTAAGTACATAACAATTTTAAAACTATTTTATTTATTTTAAAATTATTAAAAATTAAAGATATTCAGTGGTGTATAATTATATATTAAGAGTCATTGTTTAAGTGAAAGATTAAATCAAATGAATAAAATTGTTAGCCTTTCAAATTAAAAAAATCAAATGTGATATTTATTTTCCTGATTACCAAAAAAAAAAACCTTATATGAAAAGGTCCCTCCTCGAAATATAGTAAAGGAGGAAAATAAATAAAATCATTTAAACCATTTTTGTTTTTGTCAGGCATGTAAAAATCCTTAGTTGAGCAAAGAAACAGGGCTGCATGCAGCAGTTAGGCTTATGAAAATTGAAGTTTAATGCATTCCAGTGCTTGGCCTAGCAGTATCTTACATGCCTGCTGGGTTTGCAGGGTATTCAGTGGGTCGTGGGAATTAGTTGTGGTACGCGCAAGTTGAGCCGGAGACCCCACGTAAATCAAAAAAAAAAAATTGAAGTTTAATTCTTTCTTAGTGATCAGTCCAGTCAACATATTTTCCTCACTCACTCTCCAAATCAAGTCATTCCAACGCAAGCTGTTTATAGCTCCAAAACTCAGTCAGCTCTATTCTATTTATATAAATTATGCTACTGTCATTCAAAATATGTTGTCGTCTAAGTCTCTTTATCATGGTATCCTAGGGGCCAATTTTTCTAGCTTCTCGTTTCTTAACCATCCATTGCGATCTTTAGTTATTTCCACTGAGTGGCAGCTCAATAGTACAGGACAACAGGGTTTGGACTTTTGAATCAGCAAACTCAGCAGCTCGAATTGCTCAACAGCTTGATTAGGATACTGATTTGGTTTGATAAGATACAAGGCTTTTTCCTTAATGCTATCATTCAGACGAGGCATCTTCATGAATCATAATCAATGATCTGCTAATTAAATTTGGTGAAACATAATGACCAAACTATTGTGTCCACATCTTATGCTTTCCACCAAATCTATCACTACATTTGGTAAAATGGAGTATTGATATTGAACTGCCAGGGTACAGGACAACGTAGGAAGACCAGGCACAAGCTAAACTCTCTTTCGAGTGCATCGATCAAACCTAGCCGAGCCAGATCATCTTCCTTTTTCATTAATTTTACCAAAAGATCCATTTGGCTCTACTAATTATGTGGATATTAGATCAAGAAAACAATATCAATGCAATTTCCCAGTTGATCTTGTCAAGAGAAGGTCGTAAGCGTAGATTTTCGTCCTTTAACATGCAATGAAACTTGCGTTTCATTAATGCAAATCCTGTGAATAGGAAATATGGCAGAAGTTCGAAATTTCGGTGCATGAAGTTTGAAATTTCGTCTCATCCCCATCTTGGCAGATTTTGCAATGCTGCATCCTATTAGAGCCATTGCATTGTGCTCCATCGTGAATCTTTCCCAGGTAATTAAGTTTTTTCTGCTAGTAGCCCTTTTGAGTTGTGCGTTAATTGAAGTAGGAGGCCATAGTTTTAGATATCCAACATTCCATGAAGACAGTCAGACTGATTTCATCAGCCACAATTCAGCTATGGTTCTTAATGCCATCCAAGCTGCTCCTAATGTTAAAGGAGATTCGATCGCCATTTTTTCCGGATGTGCCTTGTACAGAAAGCAATTCAAGCTGTGGGCAGGCAAAGGTCGAGTTAGAGCTCCTTTCAAACTTTGTACTTGATATTAGTCCTCAAACAAAACCAGGCGGTGAAGGTATCACATTTATATTAACTGCAGATTCTGGTCTCCCAGAAAATAGCCTAGGGCGGTGGCTTGGTATCGTAAACGCGAATACTAATGGTGCATATCAAGCAAAGATAGTTGCAATAGAATTTGACACAGAGAAGTTATAATGGAGATATTGACAGTAACTGATGGAAGAAAGATTGGTTTGGTATAGGATCAAAAATAGTAATGTAAAATAAAAAACTCAAGAACAAAAAAAAGATTGAAAGCAAGATATATTTTTATTAAATGT